ATCTTCAAATTCGTGTGGGGGAGTAAAGCGAGGTTGGCGGCGATGGAGTCCGATGGGCGTGGTGGCCGAAAGGTGGAGCTATGTGGATCTATAGGTAGTAGCTTGGTAGGTTATGAAGTGGTGGTGGTGGAGAATTTATGATTTCTTTATAATTTTTTAAAAACTTAAGGACCATAGTTGCAGTTGTTAATTCATCTTTTTCTTTTTTGTTTTATTTGAATATGAGGGTAAAATCGTTCTTTATTGAAAAAATGGTTGAAAATGACCTTTTGTGCAATGAAAGGTGGAAAGTAGGGGTGAAAATGCCAAAAAATGAAAGGTATGGACGTTTTGCACAATGACATTGAAAGGTAGGGATGTTCTGTGCTATTTACCCTATATTGAACCATATGCATGCCTTTCTCTCCCTCAAGTTGACTTTAAATGCTATACTAAGATACATGTTTTCAATTTACCTCTTTCTTCCTTCTCTAGAAATTGCTTTGGTATTCCTATTATTAATGTTGCAATTGCGTAAAGAGGTCAAAGAAATCTCTCCCTACCGTCCCTACTAAATAAAAGAAAAATCAGTTTCCAAAACGTGATATCTATCAGCTATGCAATTTAGCCATGTGATATCATTCTGTATGATTTTACTTCATGAATCGTGACACATCTTACTTTTATGTTGCCTCGCAGATTTCTAGATCAATTGGTGATGTGTATTTGAAAAAGGCTGAATTCAACAGGGAGCCATTATATGCTAAGTTTCGACTGCGTGAACCCTTCAAAAGACCAATTTTGAGCTCAGAACCGTCAATTTCTGTGCACCAGTTGCTACCTCAAGATCAGTTCATTATATTGGCTTCAGATGGCCTGTGGGAACACCTCACTAACCAAGACGCAGTTGATCTAGTCCAAAGTCATCCCCGCAGTGTAAGATAAAATGCTCCAAATATTAGAGCTTTCTAATTTGGAGAGTAGCATGTGACATATTTAAAGTTTTATATTAAAATTAGCCAATAACACCTATATTACTAATATTCACTATTATTTTGTTGTCGAAAATTTATCCTAATATTCATGCAAAATCTATCGATAGGGATTGTGATGATGTATTCATGCATATTTTCATAACAAGTCCTCTACTGATGCAAAATCTGTCAGTAGGGATTGTCATGTATATTAGTTATAGGTGATGCATAATACCAGCCGTCAAATCAAGTTATTTTGAGTTCAGCTCTCATCCTCAGAGTATAAGAAGATATTTTAATTTTAGTTCGACTTCTTTGTGCAGGGGAGTGCTAGGAGATTAGTGAAAGCAGCATTGCAAGAAGCTGCGAAGAAGAGGGAAATGAGGTACTCCGACTTAGAGAAAATCGAGCGAGGAATCCGTCGGCATTTCCACGATGACATCTCAGTTATTGTTGTGTTTCTCGACTCATATCTTGTGAGCAGGGCTAGTTCAACCAAGAGTCCTAATATATCCGTGAAAGGGGGTGGCGCCATCAATCTACCTCCAAATATGCTTGTTCCTTAAGCTGTAGCTACTTGATGATGCTCTCTCTAATTTGTACTGTACTATCCACATGTGAATACAGATAGCTTCTTAGAAGTTGAGACATGCCCTTCAATTTCTGATGTACACCAGCGTTTAACCGAAGAAGGCATGATAATCGGCAATAGTTTCAATACCCGAGGAGGCTGGAAAATGAGAACTCCAAGGTGATAATAATTGTAGTTATGTTCTCTGGGTTAATCTTTCATTATCTGTTGTTTCGCCTTACCACGTGTCATTTACTCCTGTAAATTCTATAACCTTACGGCTAAATTGACTTGATTGATATTTTATTTGAAGGCTGATTATCACAGATGTTATAAATGCTAGTGTATTTACACTAGGCAGTGGCATGCTTCTGTAAAGTGGGATTAAGAGCATGCATGAGGTGGCTTATAAGCTTATTTAATTTACTTAGCCCATGTTTGGCTGATGTTTATAATCGACCAAATTATTTTTTATCTACATATTTTGTAGAACTCACATGTACTAATTTATCCATTACTCATTTATAATATCGATTATAAACAACTCCTAAACTTGCTATCACTACTCGTGACCTCTTCTCTCCTTGTAAGTAGAATGAGCCCCCCAAACATGCTGGAAGTTTTTGCCCATAAAGAAAGTGATCTGATGGTTAGTAAAGAACTGTGCATTTTACTACAAAGTTTCCTCATTGAGCTTCATCCCATTTAACTGATAATAGCTTTGTTACATATTTAACTTTTAACTACCTGCAAAAGTGGTGTTAAAATGAAATATGCTAAAGTACTTTGTTCATTTTTCTATATCATAGTGTTATTGCTTCCATTTCCCTCCTATTAAACCAATGGTAACTGGGCTATCTGTTCGTTAAGTTGGATCAATTTTTTTAGCCCAATCTAAAGTTGGGCTGGATACGACTGAGTACAACCCGTTGCACTGTGCGAGTGTGTGTGTGTGTGTGAGAGAGAGAGAGGACTTTAATCAGCGTGTCAGGCATATTCTCGCCACCCCATAAAACTCTCTCCACTGACTACACTATTTTCACAGTCGCTTGTGTACCATAATAATCAGTCTAGGCTCAATAATCAATGATGAGAATGGGGTTGAATATCAATAACGGCAGATTAACCATCGACCATTGTTAGACTACTTGCTAAACCCTGCAACGGTTAACAAGAAGTGCTCGATTGAAGAAACATTAGGGTCCGTTTGATTACAAGAATGAAATTTAGTTGAAAAGAAAATAAATTTCAGAGAATTGAATTATCTAGAACTTGTTTTTACCGGGTATTGTTAATTAATTATGTTTGATTGATATAATTTTTTCGCCTACAAAATATTGAAATTTTGAATCTTTTAGTGTTCGTTTGACTTTGTTTTTCAAGGAAATTATTCATTAAAGAGACATAATTTATTTTAATTGCAAAAAAAAAAANGTGAGGTATAAGTTGGAAAACTAATTGCCTAAAAAAAAATTTCATATCAAACAGCCTAAAAGGTGGAAAATGGAAAATAATTTTCAACTTCCATGAAAAATTCTTCCTATCAAACATGGCCTTAATGTTTTTACATGCAGAGTTGGTCAACCATATTTTATAATGAAAGCAGTTAAGTCCAAATTATAATTGGTAATTTCTAAATTTGTAATTGACAATTTCCTTAATCAAAATCAAGCCCTAGTTGAATTGTATTATGAGTTTATTGAGTTGTAATAAGAGTTATTGAGTCCTAATTAAAGTCAAAAGAGTTGGGGTTGATAGTATAGTTCTTGAAGGAGTTCAAGATATCCAAGAAGATTGCATATGATCAAGGAAATGCAATTAGAAGTCTAAAGAGTGTTAAAGAGGCGCACAAGTTATGTTCTAAATCCTCGATCACAACTTGCAACGTATTTTTCACAAAGAAAACATTAGAATTTGGATAAGGCTATTTTTAAAAGAATTGTATCTCTTTGAGTTAATTTTTCAATACATTTTGAATCGTCTCAATCGGATATTGGAAAAGAAAGTTATGAAAACAAAAAATTGATGATTGCTCAGCAATGCTCGCCCGACGCTGGACTAGAGCTCGGGCGACACGGTTATCAGAGGAACAGTAATATTCGATTTTCAAGTTAATTTTGAGTTTCTTTTCATCCCAACACAGTATCCACTATATATAAAACATTCATTGATTCCAAGATTCAACTATCACTTATTACTTGATCCATAAATTCTTTTAAAACATATTTTGTTGGACAAACCATATTATTTCATATAAAACCACAAGATCAAAATACATAAGATTTGTTTGATTAAACACCAAATCATTTAATTGATCGAAGATAAATCGATATTAGGGATTGAAAGCTACAAATTCAAAAGGACTAAGGTAAGTACCAGGAGTCAGGATCTGGTATTAGGAGCATGCATTTCAGGAGGGTTAAGGTATAAACTAAGAGTCGAAATTTGTTTTGAGAGAGAACATCTTCAATGAGATCAAGAGAGACTATATAAATTGAGATTAAAAGTTCTACAAGGTAGATGAGTAGATCGTACTGTAAGTTTGTTTTGATTTATAGTGGATTACTGACGGTAAAGTGCTCAAAATTTTTACCCAATTGGAGTTTTTTCGTGATCATCTTTGGTGTTCTTTACTGCTTTAATTATTGATGTGGTATTCAAATTTAGGATAAAATGACTTGTTTGATCTAATTAACTAGAAATAATTAAAAAGTGACTTATTGCCTTTTAATTGTGTAATTTCACACGTTGGGTCTAAATAAATCGACTAACTTTGTATACAAATGTTTTAATCGATCTCACCATGCTATCAGAATGTGGTTTAAGATCTACAAAAATTTCCTTGTTTCTAGCTATCAATATGTAGTAAATTGTACTCTTAAGGGCAATTCTCTTCATTTATACTTGTATTACATTAAGTGCATGGGAGTTTTTCTTGGTTCGAGCACAGTCCTCAGTGGCAAATTCAATAATACTACATGTACAGAACAGAGCACTCACGCATGATGGGGGTGGGTAATTTATTTTTACAAAGGGAAAAACCCGAATTTAAGAACAATCATAGTTATTGGGGAAATTTAACCTTAACGCAGTAAATACGATGTACAATTGTGTAAAATTTAGCTCTTGTTTGGTACACATTAAAATTTTCATTCTCATTCGTCTACTCATTTTTAATCACATTTTTTAATAAAATAATATTTTTCATCATATCAATAATTTTTCCTTCTTTTTTAACCATAAATTCTTCATCAATCTACTATTTCAGAATATATTCTTCCAAAATAGTGTGACTCAAAACACATCCTTAAGGATCACGACCAACTCTAATCTTACACATACAAGGTTGTCCTTGTCTTAACGGCTTAACCTTCTCAAAGGAATCTTGGGATGTATGCTAATTTCAGCCTTCCTTTTCCTCCTCTTCTTCTAGAAGATTTTTCAGATGTTCAAATCCAGCAGCAGAAATGGAATTCACAACCCAAAATCACATTTGCTTTCTGCATCGAAAATAATTTTTTTTTTAATCAGAGACTTAAATTACCCAGTACATTTTTTTTTTATTGAAGCCGTGAACTAAGCAAAAACCTAACCATAATATTCTCATAATTACGAGTTTATGATATCTGTTAATAGAAATAAACAAAAGATTGTGTCAGGGACTTTTCTTATCTCTCTCACACACAGTGAGCAAGTGTGAGAGAGAGAAAAGAAAAACATACATGCGGAGACACAAAATCTATCTGCCTTTGTGATTACCCTTTTAATAGTTTTGACTAAATTTGACTCCTCTTTTCTATCAAGAGTCAGCTGCACATCTGTCTCCCTTTAAAAAATCCCCGCTAAAATAAGTACCAAAATTAAAATTTTTATTGATTAATAATGCTATATACATCAGGAGTTATGACTATATCAGTTAATTAGAATAACTTTTATTTGGTGGAGTGTGGTTGAAAAATTGCAGATTTCATGAAATATATTATTAAAATTAATTATTAATTTAAATTTAAACTTAAATTTTCACCAAACAAGTACATAATAATAATAATTTTGCTGTCGCATAAATTGCTGCTTATTGTCATAATTAATACTAATGAATAATATTACTCTATCAACTCCAACGGCACTAGAGTACCATATTATACAATAACACAACCTCTTCATGATTAATACTAACTAATAACATTACTCTTTATCAACTCCGCAAACATCAGTACCATGCCTCCTGTTTGGTAAAAAATCTTAATTTTAATCAAATCAAAGTTAATAATTAATTTTAATTACATATTTTATGAGACGCACAATTTTTCAATTCCGCATTTTATCAACTTTTATCTAAATCTATTAAAAATATAATTTTAATCCCCCAACAAATGGGGACATATTATACAAGAATAAACTGTAAAGACAACCTCTTCCTCGAGCCCCACCACCCATCTCCTCCCTATCACCCCAGAATCTCTCTCCCTCACACACACAATAAACACAGTTGTGTAATCATCCGCCAATTTGACAGAAAGTGATTGACAGATGAAGTGACATAATGTTAACTGATAAGATGTCATTAGATGAAAAATATGTTCAAAACAGTCAAATAATAAAATATCATATGACATTATATTAACTATTATATCAAAAATTATGCCACTATAGCATGACTCATGGAAAAATCTTGAAAAACAAGAATTCTTTTTCTTGCTACGGTGTTGTATTTGTAGGAGAAAATAAAGGGAAATAAAAACATCCTTTTCCATTCATTTGAAACCTCTCCTCTTCTGTTACTTTCTCAGGCACAGCACAACTTTTTACTTCATTGAGCGTGAGCGTGTGACCACCTCCATTTTTTCTTCAGATGCCCCTTAGGCCCTTACTCGGTTCTCTCTTAGAAAAAATGAAATGGGTAACCGGTTGTTTTTCCACAGCCCTTTTTTTAGCAGAAATCCTCATTAATCCATATAAGAAATGGGTTGGTTCAAATATACATCACCTCTAAAAGGTTGTACATTTTGTCCCCTAAATCTCCATATTCCCTGTTAAAAGACCCATTTTTTAAACCCAGATTTTTCTCCAAGAACCCACTTTTTTTGTTCTAGATACCTTTTTAGGGGAGGACAAAAATGGGATGTGTTGCTTCAAAGTTGGAAGAAGAAGAGGAAGTGGTGGCTATATGTAGGGAGAGAAAACACCAGCTGAAGTTTGCTGTAGATAGAAGATATGCACTGGCTGAGGCACATTACAGATACTGTAAATCGCTCTTTGGTGTCTCCGCCGCCATTAGTCTCTTTGTTGCTCGCCATTCTTCGCCACCGGCACCATTTTCCATTAGCTTTCCACCACCTTCTTTCCCCTCTCCTCCAAAAGAAAATGTGGTTTCTAACCCTTTGTTTCTCCAGCAAACACCATCTGAACCCACCAAAGAAGCCATTGCTTGTGAATCCTGCAGTTGTTCAACAAGTTCAGAGTCTTCTGAGGAAGAATATGAGGAAAAGCTTGAGAAAGAAGAGCCACAGGTTTGTGGGTATTTCTACATGGACATGCCTCAGACAATGACTTCACCTGCAAGAGATTTTGGTTGGGATTTCTTTAACCCTTTTAATAATGTAACAAGGCCAGAGATAATAAGTGGTTATAATAGGATTTCTGAGGAGGATTTGAGGGTAGTGAGGGAACAAGAAGGAATTCCTGAGCTTGAAGAAGAAGAGGAAGAGGAAGAGGAAAGAATGGAAGGACAGAGAAAAGTTGTGGAGAGTGAAGAAAAGCACGATTTTGAGCACGAAGATACCGAGATTGAGGCCGTGAAGGCGGTGGTTGGTGGTGGTGCTAGTGTAAGCCAGGCGGCGGAGCAGCTGCAGAAGGGTTTGACTGTGATTGACACACCCGTGAGAGGGAGGGAGCTGTTGGAAGCACTAAAAGATATTGAAGACCACTTTGTTAGGGCTTATGATTCTGGCAAGGATGTCTCAAGGATGCTGGAGTGCAACAGGGTCCATCTACAGACTAATCTGGATGAAATAAAAGGTGCAAACTTTATCATTACTTTCTTGACATTGCATTCGAGCATCTTTTCTTACTAATTCTTAGCCTTTTTTATGAATCTTCTTGGTTAAATTAACATCAGAATCAGTTATTGTGTGCCCAGGCCTGCAAAGCAAAATTGCAATTTTGTATAGGGCAGTGGTGCCTTCATTTTTCAGTTCTTCCGTTCTCTTGCATTTCAGTTCAAAGCACTTAATTTTCCTTTTTCTGATTCACACTGTGCTTAAAAGCTACTTTTCTTTGAAGGTATATATATATATATTAAGTTCAGTGTTGGTGTGGAAACAACATATTGGTCTGCTAATATTTCGAGGATATTAATCTGCACTAATATTTTCCTTTGATGATCATATAAATGGGTGGTTCTCACTTTCTTCACCAATTTTTTTCCAAATTTCTGTTTGTGGAATAGTAAATCCCCATTTTTTATCAGAAACTTCTACTCCAAGTAGCCTCTTCCGCCCGAATTCATTCACATATCTCATGTGGATGCAGAGAATTCAACAAAACTAATCCAAGCTATTCCGTGGAGGTCTGCTTCTCGATCTTCGTCATGTAAGAGTCTTGTTGCGTCTAGTTCCAAGAACTCTTCGACATGGAAAGAATTTAACAATGATCTGTTTGATGATTATGGAGGAATGGCTTCTGGAAGCCATTCATTGACACTAGGAAGGCTATATGCTTGGGAAAAAAAACTCTATGAAGAGGTCAAGGTAAATAGCTATTGCCCAAACTCCCTGCAACTTCTTTAGGATGTAATCATTTCTCCATATTATTTATCATATGATGTTTGTATGGTAATAATGTTGTCGTACTTTTTATATAAATTATTCATTCAGTTTCCTATGTGAAATGAAAATTAAAGCACAATGCAACTTCTTATTCTTTCTACTAGTTTTCTACTTTCCAGCACTTGACTTTGTACTGCCTTTAGGATGGAGATAGAATTCGGAAAATATATGAAAGCAAATGCAATCAACTAAGAAATCAAGATGCTAGAGGAGATGAAGGACTGGCAGTGGACAAAACCAGAGCAGCAGTAAAAGATTTATATAGCAGGATCCTTGTCGCAATTCGAAGTGCTGAAACAATATCGAACAAAATCGAGAAACTCAGAGATGAAGAACTCTTGCCCCAAGTCAATGAACTTCTACAAGGGTAAGAACTGAGATGTGAACCTACTTGAAAAGAAAAAGAAGAAAAAAATGTAATCCGATTATTGAATGACCTTGTTCTGCTCCATTTAATTGCAGCATGGTGAAAACTTGGAAAATTATGTTGGAGTCCCATGAAATCCAGAACAAGATCATGCAAGAAGTGAAGCTTTTTACCTGCCCTTCGTACGGAAAATTTTGCAATGAATCTCACCGGCGCGCTACACTTCAGCTGGAAACAGAGCTTTTGAATTGGCGTGCATGTTTCGCAGAATACATTACCGCCCAGAAAGCCTACATCAAGGCCCTCCATGGATGGCTGGCTAAGTTTGTCGTCCCTGAAGTTAAATTCTACTCTAGAGGCACGAGTTCGACTCCATGTTATTTAAATGGGCCCCCACTTCTTGTGATTTGTCGAGATTGGTTGGCTTCCATGGACAAGTTGCCGGACAAGGTAGTTTCTTTTGCTCTGAAAAACTGCAGCATGGATGTTAGAGCTTTGTGGGTGCGAAAAGGAGAGGAACAGCAACAAAAAAGGAAAGTTGACAATCTATCCCGAGAACTGGACAGAAAGATTCTGGCATTTCAAAAGATTGAGAATAACAGGTTTGATTTCAAACTCACTGACCACAACACAGAGCAAGCGATTGAGCATCGGGATGAATACTTGAAAGAAAAGGACATGCTGGACAATTTCCGGAAAAGGGTTGATCTGGAGAAGGAAAAACACCATAACTGCGTGCAAGAAACTGAGAGGATTACTTTAAATGGATTTCAGGGAGGGTTTAATAAAGTTTTCGAGTCTATGACAGAATTTTCCAAGGCTGCTTTAAGTATGTATAGTGACTTGTTAAACAACATTGTGAATGCCGAGAAAGTTGGCAAACCGATCCCGTATTGAGCGTTCCCAAGTTGAAAAAAATGGAAGCAGATGATGCGAAAAGTGTTGTGTAGAATTTTCTTGTTCTAGGAGTTGAGTTTGAAGTGTTGTACATTTGAGCAATGCAACTCACTGAGACACAATTATTTATGGATTTCTATTAGTGTCATTGGTTGGCACTTGATTTCGTTTCTTAAGGTATTTAGCCCCATTTCTTATTTTGCAAGACTTGATTTCCTGATTCTTGCATATTTATTGGCAAGAATCCCAGCAAGTTTTATAGGGTTGGTCTGAGAATTGTGGGCAGGCTATGCAAGTTTTTATGTCTCAGGATTTGAGCTGATGGTTAAATAGAACAAGGTTGGGGAAATTAATTCTATTTTATCATCTGAATCATGCCCCCCTAGGCAAAGTACATTTTTTCATTTGTAACGTTCTCTATTCTATTTATCCTGGCCTTGTGTCCTAAACATTCAATTTGATGTTAGAGGAGGATGCCCCGCTTCATTCTCAGCTGTAGAAGGCATCAAGAAATGGGCCTTTTCCTTAAACCCAACAAAATTTTCCTTATCTTTTTTCCCGTTCTTAAGCAATTCTCAACTTCTCCTATGAGTTTCTTGTTTGTGACCATTCCACATCTACAACTGCAATCAACACACACCAGTCTGGCTACAATTGCATCCTGTGGTAATGCAATATAACCTATTTCAACTCCCAACAATTTCCGTGACAATTAGGTCTGTGCGACTGTGCCCAACAACAATAAAAACAAGGGATGCTACTTCGGAGCTGAGTCTAATTTTTTGTGCTAACACATCTTAAATATCTGGATAGATTGACCACTGCATGCTTTCCAGAGGTGAAGTCGATAGTAGTGCAAATGCCATGCAACCTAACATTTCAGAAGTAAATATATTCACTAATTTAGGTTCTTGAACATTATCGTTGTAGAAGTTTAAGGAAATACACATCCTAAATAAGCATCTATAAAACCACGCAAAGACAATTGACCTCCCAGGCTTACGTGGTAATAAGTATTTGCCCCGTCCTATACTAGGTACAAGATCAAAAATTGAGAAATGAGTACAAATTCGCTCACAATCGTAACTGGCGTGTGAATGCCAAGGAACAATGTCAACTTGCAACCAACTTTCAACTGCTGGACCCACAACAGCACCAGTCACAAGGCCTCCTATTGTTATGACAGCCGCCTGCCCTGCAAAACAAAACCCCCAATAACTTCTCATAATAAGCTGAAGTATCAATAACAAACTTGAGCACTATCATCACACCCTAGACAATTTAACTTGAAAACCAAAATTATCTTGATTCAATCACCATCCATGATAAGGAACAGCTGGTATTCCTGTCATCTTTCCATGCATCCAGGAATGTGTATGAATAGATGTCACACTATCAACAATCCAAAGTTTTATGTCCACAAGCAGAACGGAAGTTAATGAAAGTAGTAAAATAAATGCTTTTTGCACCCAAGCACCATAACGAATTTTACTCACAGGGCCAATACCTGTGTTTCAGAAACTACAAGGTGTTTGGAAATCAAGAGGCATATAACATGCAATACATGAATCCTGAATTCTAAATACAAAAAGGTGATCAATAATCATATATAACAATCCTAAAACAGCTATTACTTGGGTCCATCACATGCACAACACAAAGAAACTCGAGTCTGTAACTAAAAAATACAAGTCCACAGAATGAGAGTGCTGGTTTCCAAGTGAATCTATCCCGCAATTATTGGAATTACAAATTTTTTATGCCCAGTATATAAAAACCACATGAACCTGAATGGACTCAGACTTGGAGCATATAAGGTGCATGAAAACGTTTGCTAATTAGGTTAGTGTTTCTGCTGAACTCGTACATATTTATTAAGTACTTTCTGTAAATATAAGGATTTTATAAGGATGATATTCACAAACATGCAAAAATTGGGCCTTGGAATGACTTGGTATAAACTTGGAGTCACGAGTCAACAAATTGAAGCTCATTGATATTCGACATTTGAAAAGCATGTTCTCCAACTATCGTGTTTCTACCATTTTCTCCTTGAATTACTACTGTCACATACAATTACTCTCAATGTATGCTCATGCAATGAAGCAAATAATCCATGGTTCATTGCATAATCCTAAAAGCCCCGCCTTCAATCTTTGGTTAATATTTTACTTCTTCTGCAAAAAAAAAAAAAAATTTGACCTGGCATGAAAGATGTACGTATAACCACACATCCATATAATAGGAATCTATCGAAATGACGGTGTTAAGATAATTTTTACCGACCTACCTTTTCTGAGGGTCAAGAGCGTTAAACAATCCAAAGAGAAAAAG